AAGCACCACTACACGTGGCTGTCAGAACAGGGAACATCGATGTAGTAGAGGTAATTATGGACTACTTCGACGATGCGGCGGCCATCTTGGATTTAGCGTTGGTATTTGTGAATATATTCTGACACTGTAATAAGGCTAATCCTGAGTAAAYAAGTCTTTAATCGAGGACCACAGCGTTATTGAAGGCCCGGGTTGGGGGGGAGGGGGGGGGGTACTACCACCCCAACTTGGGTAGGGGTGTGGCGCCAGGACCTCAAAACCCTGACCCTATCCCAGACCTAAAATTTTGATTTAGGGTTACGTACCCTACTCCAGACTAAAACTAAGAATTGTACACCCTATCCCAGACTAAAAGACGGAAAAGACGGTTTTTCAATAGATTATTTCAATCAATATTTACAAACGTTTTTATTGTTTTTGTGCCGGCAGAAAGCGTAGCCTATTTGCCAGACAAAAATGACCAAATCGTTAACCCTATCCCAGACTAAACAGATACCCTATCCCAGACAAAATGTCAAAAAATGATACCCTACCCCAGACCCAAAAGCCGAAAAACCGTACCCTATAGGGCGGCACATACCCGTATAGCAAATATAGGGAAGCACCCCCCCCCCCCCGGGATTGAAGGACAGTTGTATTAACCTGGAAATTAAAAGGCATCTTAGACAAGTCATCACTCCCTTTCCAACCACCTTCCTCTTTTCAATTCTCCTCCCTACTCTCCCTACCCTTGAATAAAAATCTCGACAGGCGTCCATAAACAACTTAAGCTTACAAATCACGTGACGTTTGTTATCTTTTACTTTCAAAGGTTCTTCTGAACCACAAGCAAACCGATGTAAACGTAGAAGGAAGAAACAAGTATACTCCACTACACACGGCTGCCTACCTGGAACACAGGAATGCGCTGGATATATGCCAACGACTGGTATGACGCTTTTCGTATATTATTATAAACCTACTAATGGTCTGTCACAAATTCTGCGCTCTAATTGGCTGGGATACTAGTGGTATCTGCTTGCCTGCTTGCCTATTTGCCTGCTTGCCTTCGTGCCTGCTTGCCTGCTGGCATGCTTATCCTCTAGAGGTTAAGTCCAAATCAACGATCTTTTCTTCAGCTTGATTGTGGTGCTGATGTAACAAGACGTGCGATAGATGCGATGACACCTCTGAGCGTTGCYGCCATGAAAGGGGCATACGAAACCATGGCACTCTTCTTCAAAAAATGTAAGACAAATTCATACACAAACAGACCGTTTCAGCGTGAGTGTAGTGTTTTCCCATTTCAGACCACGTGCCATTCCCTTGAGTTGTATCCATGTGTCTTATGCAAAACCGTCAAACAAAAAAACGATATGACACATGGCCTGAAATGGGAAAATATTATACCCAAGGTAAAGAAGTTTTACTCAAACTAATGAGGTTTATACTTTTAAGCGTAACATGTGCAATGTAAAAAAAATGTAAATATGACGTTTGCATGATGGCGTCATTTGACTCCCACTACCAGGATGCTTCGCGATTTTTTTTCTCATTTAAATTTGTATTCCATCATGAGAATAGTAAGACAATTGGTGCTAATTAACTGAACAAAATAAAGTGTGCAAGGGAGTCTGGTAGTAGAGGTCAATGACGCCATCGTGCAAACGCCCTGTTTATGTTACGTCGACCAAAAGTGTGTGTGTGGGAGGGGGAGGGAGGAGGAACGTTGGGACTTAGGTGAGAAGAGACAGTTGCATTCAAAACGAAGATAAATGACATTAAATCTTGGTCTATATTCTCATCCTCTTCTCCTCCATTTCTCCTTAGGTCAAGAACAACAACCMGACCCTAAGAAGCAAATGGATGTGCTTTATAGTGTTGACCATGAAGGCAGTACCTTACTACATCTAGCCATCGATAGCGGTGTCCTAAAGGTAGGAGAATTGGATGATAGCAGATAGTAGACAATAGAGAGTTTTAGATTGA